GAGGAGAAGAAAACTTTCCCCCTTTCCCCCAGTTTTGCCGTTGTCATTGGTTCAGTGGTATCCCGTCGTCTTGGTATGGGAGATGTGGGGTCCTGGTGGGGTTAGGTTTTATATTTTCCCTCGAGGACTGGTTCCCTGTGCCGCCCCAAACAACCTAACCACCCGACGACCTATTACCCAAATACTATACCCTATTACCCTTGGCCCTAGCTCCTCACAGGACCGTCCTTACTCTCTAAGCTCCCTGGTCCCTCCTCCTCCCATGCCCGATTGCAGGTTTTCTTCAGGACTTTCCCCACATCCTCTCTGGAACTCCCTTTGCCCCTATCCATCAGACTGTCTCCTACCCTCCCTCACCTTCAGAGAGGCGCACCCTGAAAACCCAATCTCTTTAGGGAAGCCTAACCCCCACCCTCACCTAACAACCGATCTCCCTCCTCCACTCCTCTCCACCACTCCATCCCCACCACCACTTCCATTCGCCTGTACCACTTTCCCTCTCTCTCCTACGATTGTAAGATTTGAAAGAGCAGGGCCCTCCGAACCCCCTCGTGTATGTGTATTGTTCCTGAATGGAGGAAAGAAGAAACAGAGGGCGCACACGGCCTTAGAGCCATTACCATAAAAAAATAGTTTTAATAAAAAATAAAAGTAGGTGTTGTACTCACAAATGACAAAAAATAAAATTAAGTTATTCCCCCCCCATAAAAAAGGGCACATCATAACAGAACAGCTGGGTCAACACACGCGCTGATTAACAGTTCCCCGTAATAGGAGTAATAAGACAACCAACAAGGCAGCCGTAGTTTCGAGGACTTGCCTCTTCCTCAGAGCTCCAGACCAACTGACCAAATGTCCTGCACCCCTCTTTTATATGCTCACTACTAGTTAAAACCAAAGGTCACAGTGGGCCACTCCTGGATACTCCCCTGTGCAGGTTGAGGAGGTCACAGGGGCAAATTGACATAGTGTACAGTAAACACAAAAGGTCTAATAAAAAAAACAAAAAAAAACAAATAATTAATATATATGATTTTATATATATATAATATATATAATATAGTATATATATATATATATAAAAATAAACCATTGAAACATAGTGACACTCATATAATCATATAAACCCATAAGATGTGTTGCACAGTGAAAAAATAAATAAATGGAAAGTTACACATATATAAATAAAAATAAAAATCCTTCCCTTGTGATGCACAGCAACTACTGCGCACCTTTAAATAAATGGATGGATGAGATGAGCAACGCTACACGACGGAAGCTGGGCTAGTGGTCCTGCTTGCCATAGACAAACATGGGACATGGAAAGGTGTTATGTCCCCCCTTGCTACTGTACAGCGCTGAGCACAGCCTTTGGCGCTATATAAATACTGTATAATAATAATATATAATATAATATATATATATATATATAAATATATTGAATATTGGCAAAATTGTAGCATTTCAAATATATGGCAATATATTTGGGAATAATATTTTTAAAAATATATTTCAAATATATTTTTCTTCTGTGTGGGTGTGCCTGCGTGGGTTTCCTCTGGGTACTCCAGTTTCCTTCCACACTCCAAAGACATGCTGGTAGGTGAATTGGCTCCTGTCTATATTGGCTCTAGTATGTGTACGTATGAATGTGAGTTAGGGACCATAGACTGTACGCTCCTCAGGGGCGGGGGACTGATGTGAATGTACAATATATATGTAAAGCGCTGCGTATTGATGGCGCTATATAAGTACCTGAAATAATAACTGTCAGGGGAGAGACCTGTATGTAAACTATACAGATCTGTCAGCTCCTGCACATTGCTTTGTATGGCTGTGCATAGCAGATCCATACAAAGCAAAGTGCTTACACAGTTAACCCTTTGATCGCCCCAAATGTTAACCCCTTCCTGCCCAGTGTCATTAGTACAATGTCAGTGCTTTTTATTAGCACTGATCACTGTATTTGGTGTCACTGGGCATGTCAGTGACACCAAGTCAGTTACCCCTCAGGCTCAGAATACCCGCCGCAGTCCCGCTATAAGTCACTGATTGCCGCCATTACTAGTAGAAAAAAAAATCCCAGTATCTATACTGCCATTTGTAGATGCTATAACTTTCACGTAAACCAATTAATTTACACCTATCAGGATTTTATTTTTTTTAGCAAAGACACAGAGCAGATTACATTTTGGCCTAAACTTATGATGAAATTCGATTTTTTAAAATTTTTTTACTGGATATGTTTAATAGCTAAAAATATCAAAAAATTGTTGTTTTTTGTTTTGTTTATAGCGCAAAAAATAAAAAATGCAGAGGAGATCAAATACCACTGAAAGAAAGCTCAATTAGTGGGGAAAAATGGACGTAAATTTCATTTGGGTGCAGCGTTGAATGACAGCACAATTGTCAGTTAAAGTAACTCACCACCGTAACGCAAAAAATGTCCTGGTCAGGAAGGGGGGGGGGGGGGAATCCTCAGGAGGGCGAGGGGTTAAAATAAAAATGTACGTGTGCCGGACGGGAGCAGTGCAGGAACGGGTTGCCGTTTATAAACGTCCTCCCGCTTCCCTGACTGTGCATGCCACCTGGGAGCACGCGGCACTGCTGTACGGATAAACGTCCCCTCGCATCCATTGCCTGTGCGCACTCCCTGGGATCGTGCGGCACCACGAACAAAGATCGCTGTACAGGACCTCTGTGTGATATCCCGATCATGTGGTCACTGATTGGCTAATCAGTGATCACATGAATAGTACTAAGCAAGATGTCACTGCTGACATCATTGCTTACTACGTGTGAAATCTGTGAATGATCACAGAGATCATATGGTACAAGGCTATTCACAACAACCTTGTACCATGTGACAAGCTCTGACCAATCACAGCTCACACAGTATTTCTCAATGGCTGCAGGAATGCAGCCAGAGAGAAGGAGAAATGATTGTCTTTACAGCCTTTATGGGTGTAAAAGCAATCAGTGTAAAAAAAAAAATAAATAAAATCTTCATCACCCCCCACAAGTAGTACAGTGTTACCATGGTGACACTGTACTGCTAGGGTGACAGTATGTAAAAAAAACCCATAAATAATAATATAAAAAATAAAATAATAATGCAAAAAACATTTTTTTTTTTTTTGAAAAATTTAAAATTTTTTTTAAAACTAATTTCGGTTATTTTTTTGCTAAAAATATAACTGAATGTTGACACTGTACTGCTAGGATAACAGTATGTAACCCCCCCCCCCCCCCCCCCAAAACATAAATAATAATATAAAAAATTAAAATAAAAATGTAAATAATTTTTGGTTATAAACTAATTTGGGTTATTTTTTTTTTTTTACAAAAAAGATAGATGAATACACTTTGGCCAAGATTTATGAAGAAAGATTATTTATTTTCAAAATTGTATAAGAAAAACACTATTTTTTAAAAAATAATTTGGACTTTTTCATTTATATAGTAAAAAAAATAAAAATCCCAGTGGTGAATAAATACCACCAAAATAAAAATTTTATCTGTCTCAAAAAAAATGCTAAACAATTCATATGGGTACAGTGTTGCATGACCGCGCAATTGTCATTCAAAGTGTGACAGCGCTGAAAGCTGTATATTGGCCTGGACTGGAAGGGGGTGAAAGTGTCTGGACTTGAAGGGGTTAACTTAACATACACACCCACAGCGGTTCGCACGAATGGGGTGCGATTCTGATGCTATGCGGAATTCGCACAGAAAACACTGCAAATTCCGCACCGCATCAGTGTGAACCCGGGCTAGTGTTGATGGCGGGATCCCTCCCACAGCAATCATTCCCTACTGGCAGAACACAATGATCACTGCTGGTGGCTATAGATGTTGGCAAAAACCCAACAGGCTGGTTGTCCTGCAGTCGATCGATTGGTTGACATCAGTACAATCAGCCTGCCCAAATCTTAGCCGTTCCCTGCTGAACCAGTGGAGATTTGATCCGTCTATGGCCAGATTTTGTGAAAAAAAAGAAACTCCCCATCTGCGACTTCCCCAGAAATCTGATCCACATTTATAGAGAGATAGGGGTGGGAAACCTTTGTCATTGGGCAGCACAGTGGCTCAGTGGTTAGCACTTCCACCTGGCAGTACTAGGGTCATCGGTTCAAACCCCTGCCACAGCACCACCTGCCTGGAGTTTGCATGTTCTCTCTGTGCCTGTGTGGGTTTCCTCCCACACTCCAAAGGCATGCTGGCGTGGGTGATCAGCACTGTCCAAACGTGTCAGGGGCAGGGGCGGACTGACCATTCGAGGACTCGGCACTGTCCGAGGGCCCAGGGTCAGTAGGGGGGCCCCATGAAATGCCCTGGTACCTTTTTTATAGCCTTTCTTGGACTATGGGCAAGGACACAGGGGCCCCATGATCTCTTATTGCCCGGGGGCCCAATGAGTTGTCAGTCCGCCCCTGGTCAGGGGTTATGCAGCCTCACAGGACAATAAGGGGAGAATGAAAACTCCTCCTACAAGCTTTAACTAGTGCTCGGCTGGACACTGATAGAAGTCACAAGACAGCTCTATACTGCTGATGAGAAAAGGGATTTAGCAGTTTATATTAATTAATAAAATAATAGCATTTCCATGTTCTGTGTACTGTGGGAGACCAGATATAGTGAATGCAGGGTCTGGGAGACCAGATATAGTGAATGCAGGGTCCGGGGGAGATAGTGACAGAGTCAGGGAGATATAGTGAATGCAGGGTCCGGGGAGAGCAGATATAGTGAATGCAGGGTCCGGGAGAGCGTATATAGTGAATGCAGAGGGGGGTCGGGGAGAGCGGATATAGTGAATACAGGGTCCGGGGAGACCAAATATAGGGTGAAGACGGGGTATAGTGAATGTGGGGTCCCGGGGGACCAGCGGCTATAGTGAATGCGGGGTACGGGGAGACCAGATATAGTGAATGCGGGGTACGGGGAGGCCAGATATAGTGAATGCGGGGTACGGGGAGACCAGATATAGTGAATGCGGGGTACGGGGAGAGCCAGATATAGTGAATGCGGGGTACGGGGAGACCAGATATAGGGAATGCAGGGTCCAGGGAGAGCGGATATAGTGAATGCAGGGTCTGGGGAGAACGGGTGAATGCAGGGTCCAGATATAGTGAATGCAGGGTCCGGGGAGAGCGGATATAGTGAATGCAGGGTCCGGGGAGAGCGGAAATAGTGAATGCGCAGTCCGGGGAGGGGCGGATATAGTGAATGCGGGGTCCGGGGAGAGCGGATATAGTGAATGCAGGGTCCGGGGAGAGCGGATATAGTGAATGCAGGGTCGGGGAGACCGGATATAGTGAATGCGGGGTTCGGGGGAAAAAGGATGATATAGTGAATGCAGGGTCCGGGGAGAGCGGATATAGTGAATGCGGGGTTCGGGGAAAGCCAGATATAGTGAATGCAGGGTCCGGGGAGAGCGGATATAGTGAATGCAGGGTCAGGGGGAGAGCAGATATAGTGAATGCAGGGTCCGGGGAGAGCGGATATAGTGAATGCAGGGTCCGGGGAGACCAGTGAATACGGATATAGTGATACTAATGAATGCGGGGTCCAGGGAGACCGGATATAGTGAATGCAGGGTCCGGGGGGAGGAGACCGGATATAGTGAATGCAGGGTCCTGGGGAGAGCGGATATAGTGAATGCGGGGTCCGGGGAGACCAGATTATAGTGAATGCGGGGTCTGGGAGAAGGGATATAGTGAATGGCAGTCGGGGATTGCGGATCTAGTAAATGCGGGGTCTGGGGAGAGCGGATATAGTGAATGCAGGGTCCGTGGAGAGCAGATATAGTGAATGCAGGTTCTGGGGAGACCGGATATAGTGAATGCGGGGTCCGGGGAGAGCGGCTATAGCGAATGCAGGGTCCGAGGAGAGCAGATATAGTGAATGCAGGGTCCGAGAGAGCGCATATAGGAATGCGGGGTCCTGAGTTTAGGAGCTGTTGCTGCCCGCTCCTAAATTGCCATATTGTTTACTGGTTGTTAAGGATTCTGGCGGCTGCCCATTTTCTCAACAACCAGCTAAAGTCACACAACGCACAAAACAATAAATGCAGAAAAAAAAATGCAAAACCCCCACCCCCCAAAAAAATGCATCAAATCAGGTGTCACGAGAACCAGAGAGCACACAGAGACAGATTGCACGGAACCCAACGTGCGGACATTTATTGGGGAGGTTTTTGGGGCACAGACAGCAGTTCCTTTAGTCCACAGATCCACACCAGACACAGCAACACAGTAAAGTTCTCTGGAAGGCAATATGGAACAACAGGGGTGTGGTAATCCACAGGGTTCAATAAGGCAAGGGCGGAATTGTTGTTTTGTGGGACTTCGGGTTCCTGGGAGAATTGGGCTCAGTCTTTTTGGCAGCACGGGGTTAGTCCACTTACTGGATGGGGAGCCAGACACAGAGGGCTACAGTCCAGACTGGCAGCACAGGGTCAATTCACACAGGCAGCTCCAGGCAGGGAAGGGTTTAAGTTTGTTTGGCTCACGGACAACAAAGAGTTAAATCCAGGCAGGGAAGATGTCCAGCCCGCAGGCTCACAGGGAACAACAGGTTAAGTCCAGGCAGGAAAGGGATTCCAGGCAGCAGAGAGTTCACCCCACACCGGAGAGGGATCCAGCAGCAGACGGACAGTCGGGTCAGCCAGGGAGAGGAGAAGGGGGACGGGGATGGGTCGTCTGAGAGAAACCGACACTGCAGCACAGTCTTCTCTCACACACATAGCTGGGAGAACAGAAGAGGGGTTGCCCTGCTCACTCTTAAGTACAGAGCTGGGCGCCTTGCTGCTGCAGTGGTAACCCCGAGGCTTCTTGTCGGGTTACCATGGCAACAGGCCCTGTCTCCCAGGTCTCTGGACCTGCCCAGGGGACAAGGCCTTTGCCCCTGTCCTGCATGGAGCCTAAAAAGATATGGAGAGGGGGGCAGGGAGGGGGTGGGGGCCTGTTTGTGGATTCCCTCAGCAGGGGGACAGGGGGTGAGGGGCTGCTGGGGCTGCTGCTTGTGTCAGGGACACAGAGGATTAGAAGTCCCAGCATGGACGTGACAGAAGAGTGAGGGACTGCTGAGGGGTGGGGGGGGGGGGTGTCGGGCAGCAAGCCTAGAGGATGGGGGAGGAAGGGCCAGCTCCGTGACAACCGGTGTGAAAAAAAAAATTGCAAAATGTACCCAGAAAATGCATCAGCCGCAATCTACATAGATGTGAACCAAGGAGGTAATAATTGATCACCGAAATACAAATATAAAAGAGATCTTAGATGATTTACCGTTATTAATCTCAATGTATCAGGACCGCATGGAGGCGGCACAAGCGGATCTTGAAGCCGCCATAACCTGCCACACGGAGCGCTCTGCTGATGAAAGGAACAAATATTTAAAGAAATAAAATCAACTCATTATGTGTCAGATGCATCCGCCTGTGATCTTCAGAAAGGTGAGAATTACAAACAGAAAGGAAGGTTAACCCCTTCCAGTCCAGACACTTTCACCCCCTTCCTGTCCAGGCCTTTTTTCAGCTTTCAGCTCTATCACACTTTGAATGACAATTGCGCGGTCATGCAACACTGTACCCATATGCATTTTTTAGCATTTTTTTGAGAGAGATAAAACTTTATTTTGGTGGTATGTATTCACCACTGGGATTTACTTTTTTTTGCTATATAAATGAAAAAGTCCAAAAATTTGGGAAAAAAAGTTTTTTTATAAAATTTTGCAAATAAACAATCTTTCTTCATAAAATCTTGGCCAAAATTTATTCCATTATTAGTAAAAAAAAAAAAAAAACCCAAATTAGTTTATAACCAAAAATTATATTTTTTCAAAAACATGTTTTTTACATTTTTTTATATTATTATTTATGGGTTTTTTTACACTGCTTTTACACCCATAAAGGCTGTAAAAGCAATCATTCCTGCAGCCATTGAGAAATACTGTGTCAGCTGTGATTGGTCACAACTTGTCACATGGTACAAGGCTGTTGTGAATAGCCCTGTACCATGTGATCTCTGTGATCATTCACAGATTTCACACGTAGTAAGCAATGATGTCAGGAAGTGACATCTTGCTTACTACTATTCATGTGATCACTGATTGGCCAATCAGTGATCACATGATCGGGACCTCGCACAGAGGTTCCGTACAGCGATCCCAGGGAGCACGCACAGTCCAAAATGGCAGGCTCCATTTTTGAACGGCAACCCGCCTCTACACTGCCTCCATCCGGCCGTTTTTATACATGGGCCAGACGGGAAGTGATTAAAGGAGGACTGTACTGAGAAAAATACGGGGACTGCTACTAGTGACCACCATATTCTGCTGGACCGGATGCTGGATCGGGTATGCTGGATCGGGTGCTGGATCTGTAATACTTCTAGTTGATAACTTGACACAAGCCAAGCAATCAGTTGTTTTTGCAGATCTTCCTGAAGGCTGCTGATCACATGTCCAGGAGGACTCATCACTTCATGTCCAATATTGATAAGATGGAGAACTCGGCTTCTGTATATTAAGTACAAACCAGGATTTAGGATCCCTGTCTACACAGCTGACCATCTAAAATGTCCCACATGACGTTCCCTTCAAGACCACAACTGGAGAAATGCTGTACAACAGGGGTCTCCAAACTGCGGCCCATGGGCCGAATGTGGCCCTTGTTTGCATTTATCTGGCATTTAGGGCACTGCCTCCCATCACACTGTCCAATGATGGGGCACTGGACACCAACGATGGGGCACTGTTCCTCCCACCGACACCAACGATGGGGCACTGTTCCTCCCACCGACACCAACGATGGGGCACTGTTCTACCAAACGATGGGGCACTGTTCCTCCCACCGACACCAACGATGGGGCACTGTTCCTCCCAACAGATGGGGCACTGTTCCTCCCACGACGATGGGGCATGTTCCTCCCCCACCGACACCAACCTGTTCCCACGGATTTAGGGCATCTCTGTCCTCCCACAGCTGACCATCTAAAACGGGGCACACTGACGTTCCTTCAAGACCACCTAACTGACGAGGGCAATTCTCTGTACACCAATGCCACTGTACCAACAATGGGGTCCCACTAATACAAATGATGGGGCAAACTCCTCCCACATGGGCTATTCCTCCCACTGACGATGTGGCCCTGTTTGCATTTATTCTGGCATTTACACCAATATTGGGGGCACTCTTCCTCCCACCGACACCAACGACGGGGCACTCTTCCTCCCACCGACACCAACGACGGGGGGGCACTCTTCCTCCCACCGACACCAACGGGGCACTCTTCCTCCCACTGACACCAACGACGGGGCACTCTTCCTCCCCGACGGGGCACTCTTCCTCCCACTGACACCAATGACTGACGACGGGGCACTCTTCCTCCCACCGACACCAATGACGGGGCACTCTTCCTCCCACTGACACCATGACGGGGCAACCTCCCACTGACACTATTCAACGATGGGGCAGCCAACTTGATGGAAATGGAAACTGACTGAACACAAAAATAATTGTCCAAAATGTCACCACACCGCTGTATATGGCACAGACATTTGGGCTGGATTTGCACTTACATTGAATTTGGCTTCAAAACAATCAAAAGAGCAGATCATGAGAAAAATAAACTGCTGACTGGGTGCTGATATTTGTCCCAACTGCAGGCTGTAAAGTAAATATTTGGATGAATTCTTGTGACATTGAGTATTTGTACCTAAGAAAGATGTGACTTTTACATCAAACTTTAATTAAAACTTCTATTAACTCAACTTGTTTGTCTTCTAATATATAAGCCGACCCCGTTCTTTGTTGGGTAGACCTTCACTGAAGTCTTCCAGCCGTCTACATTCTCAGCACCAACTGAACCCCCCGGTGAGTATACGCTGGAGTAGCATTATCTTATTATTACTCCAAATTTCATTTTTATATGGAAAGAAATCTCGGTTTTGTTTTCAGGATAAAATTTAAATGACTCCTCTGTTTTGATTTTAAATGCTGGCAAGGTCCCTTATGTCATTCTTCCCAAAATGGCTTATTTTGCCCCATGAATCCCACATGGAAGAAAAATATATTTTAAAAATACATTCTTATATATTCTTCCAATATATTGACATATATTTCATATACTACATATTTCAAAAAATATATTCAGAACACATGCTGCAATATATATCAAAGTGTAATTTGGAATGCATTTACAAGTATATTTAAATGCACATATGTGACATATTTACAATAGATTTGCCTACGCTCATATATTTTAACATGTATTCTTAAAAATTTTAAATTAAATATATTTTCTAAAGGCATATATATTTAAAAATATATTTTCTTAATATATTCTTCCCAAATATATTGACATATATTTCAAATACTACAATTTTGGCCATATCCAATATAATATATATATATATATATATATATATATATATTTAAATATAATGAACATGGCCAAAATTGTAGTATTTGAAATATATTCACAATATATATCTATTTGTGAAA